AGTAAATGAATAGGAGAGATGAATTGGAGAAATGAAAGAGTAAATGGATAGGAGAAATGAATAAATGAAATGAAAGATTAAATGAATGGGAAAAATGAATAATGAAAATATGGAGGAATCGGCGCTGAATGATAAGTATGAGAAAATTTAGCAATCAGTTAATTGGCTTRATTTTATAAGCGCTAGCACCACTGATCTAAGTCAGGGCATGGCTAACTCACAGTTTGAATTGAGATATTTAACAATCATTCGACGAAGTSGAAGTGATTATCGGGGAATATTTACCGAGACGCGAGTCTTTGAGCGGCAAGGTAAATATTCCCCGATAATCACCGAGCCTGAGGCAAATAATTGTTTTAGTATAAATACACAGGTGATTCTTTCAAAAAAAGAAGATAAAAGGCATTTTTTTCCCGGTAACAGCAACAAAGCGGCTGACCGCCATTTTGGATTTTTGTTCGAGGTGCCGATTATCGAGTGATAGTGTGAGTTTCTTGACCAATCAGCGCGCGAGATTTTCTATAATCACCTGCGTATTTTTACTAAAACGTGTTGAGTTTTGCGAAAGGAGGACTGGAAGTACAAGCAGCTGGAGAAAACCTCTCGAATGAAGAGAGAGACCAAAGCCAATTAATTTACCAATCGATAAGCTGAGAATAAAAACATTCCAACACTGTTATACGTACATATTGGTGTGACGTGCGGTTCTCCTGTTGACACAAAAGCGAAAACAGCCATTAGGAATTAGACTAGCATATTATTAATCAATACATGGAGGTGAAGACATGTAATGCACATGCAGTGCACATGAAGAGCAGTTTAATTAAATTTTTGTATGACTGTGAAAAGCTCACGGCACGAATACGGYCATGACACGGCAATCACTTTGCACGAGAATTTATTCTCCATCCAATCATCTCCAGCCAATGCCCGGAACACGGTATGAACACGGCGTGGACACGGTCATGACAAGATCATGGTACTGCCAGACCAATCACATTGCGCGAGAA